TCCTGTGTCCGAGGGAATGGAATTTCCTGGTCACTTCGCATCATCACGGGTCATTTCGTGCCAAGTCCCACACACACACTTTCCCTCCACCCAGCTCTGGCCAGGTCCCTGGAAAAGGAACAGAACCGTCCTTGTTCCCTCCGCTGCCCGGTTCCCTCTCTCTCCTCTCCCCCTCTTTTCTTCTCTCTCCTCCCACCATCCACTTCTGTCCACTCAGCTTTGAGCCAGGGGGGTGTTGGGGAGAGTCCAATCTCAGTACAGCTTGTCTGGTGGTGTTGGGGGTTTCCTCTCATTCTTCATTGTTGTCTCCATCACCCCCCCACCCCTGTCTCCAACCCTTACCACAGGCTGCCACCGCCGTCACTACAAACCCTGTGACTGACTTCCCCATTGACCACAGCTCTGCTCTCTGGACAGCTGTGTTCTGACTTCCACCCTGTCTTGTAACTCCTCCCTCCAGCGGTGGGAAGGGAAGTAAGAGAAAGGACCTGGGTCCTTCCCTTCCTTAGAAGCTGTATCTCAGTGTTTGTGTGATCTCATCTCGGGGCTTTTTAAAACACCACCAACAACTACTCAGTTCTTAGATCCGTCTAGGTTGCCGGAGCTTCAGGGTTCAGGGCCTGGGACAGGAGGGACAGGAGGTCCATATTCATGCATTTATAGTATTTATCAAGCTGCCCTATGTGGAAACGTTGAGCTTGCCTGTGTTACAGGACTGCGGAAACGCAGTGAGCACAGAGAAACTCAGCTGTGCCCTACCCTGGCTGGCAGTCATGAGAGTTCTTCCTGGGGCACTAACGCTTTGGAAATTTCCTTGGGGATGGAAGTGGTGAGGACGGAGGAGAGAACAGGTCACAGCATGAGGGGAGGAGAGAGGGGGAGAGAGAGGCGGGCGCGGAGCAGAGTGGCACGATAGGACATGTGAAGAGGGCGGGGAAGGCTGGAGAAAGATTCCTCCTGGCCTGCAACCTGTGCCCAAGTCACACACCGGAGATACGGCCATGCCACGGGGGTGCACGTGCAGGGGTGCAGTGACATAGAACACAGAGAAACAGTGTGTGCAGCCTTGAGGCAAGATCTCAAGGTCAAGTCATAAAGGCACTGCTGCTAAATGTCTTTGGGAGGGGTTGGATCTCAGTTGAGGGAAAGGAGGAGGAACAAGGGCAGGGAATCGAAAGAGAGGGAGGGAATTTCTCGCTGCGGCAAGTCTTTCTTGAGGATCAACCTGCCGTACTTAGTTACCTAGGACTTAGGGGGTCGAGGTCTTAAAGAAAATGTAGGTGTTGAGGGTAAGGTAAGGGAAAGCGGGGGAGGGACAGGGGCGGAGGCCTTGTTTGTGAGAACAAAAAAACCACCATTTCCTCTTCAAAGTCACTTCGCTGCCCATCCCCTTCTGGCCTGTACCCAGGGAGAAGGGAGGTAGAGCTTGTAGTACCCCCCAAAATGTGCTCATTTATGCCAATAGCCTTTGGTCCCCTCCCCTCCCATCCTCCTAGATGCCTCCAGCCCCCTTCCTCTCCCCTGGTGCCCGCAGCTGCTACGCCTTAACCCCTGGGTGCCCTTTGGGTCTTTTCCTTCCTTTGAGAGTCTCCCTGTGAGGTTCTGCCGTTGGAGGAGGTTAGTGTCGGCACAGGACTAGGGCTTTTAAGGGAGAAGGCGAGTCTGAGCTCTGTAGGAGGCTTCTCAGGGAGGGAGGGACTCCCCGTTAACCTTTCTTCTCTCTCTCCTTTCTGCTCCTCCAGGGTTCCAGGCCTGAGGAAGAGAACCGTGCGCCTGCCTGCCCACCTCACTCCCTGGCCCTGCTGGTTTCTCAGGGTCTGAGACACGGGCCTTTTCCGCCGGCGTGAACCCAGGGTGTTGTGACACCTGAAGGCAGTGAGGAGTGGGCGGTCCAGGCACCAGGGCAAGAGCCCTCTGGGGCCTCGGGCAGCAGAGTGAAACTGGAACCATCAGGGAACATGAGTGAATTTTGGCACAAACTGGGCTGCTGTGTGGTAGAGAAACCCCAGCCGGTGAGCGTCCCCGCCCCCACCCCACACGCACAGAAATCAGTGACCGTATCCTGTGGGGGAGGCTCACCGTCTGGGACCTGCTGTCTAGAAAGCACTCTTCTAGCCTCCCTCTCTGTCGGGGTCGTTTCGGTGGCGAGGCAGGTGTGTAGCACAGTACAGGGGGACTGGGTGATGGGAGAAGTGAATCGTCCCAGCTCTCACTTCCTGTCCCTGTCCCTTCTGAGTTGGGTGGGGGTTGTAGGTGGAGCTTAATACCTGTCAGTTTCCCCCATTGTTTCCTCATCAGCCAGGGGTGACTTTGATGTGTCCTTTCCTTGTCCAGTATTCACTCTGCTGGCCACTGCCCTCACCGCCCTGCCTGTGTCCTCTCTGTGTTATTCCAGCGTTGCCTTTCACACCCTAGTGATGTATTTCCCTGTTGTAACGCCATATTCCCTTTCCTACCGGGCCTTAGCTCTTCCCTTAGTGGTTTTCAAGACTCTTTTTTCCTTCCTCCACTGTGACTGCAGGAGGGGCTTTCAGACATAACTCCCCTATTTTCTCCAAGCAGAAGAAGAAGAGGAGGCGGATCGATCGGACCATGATTGGGGAACCAATGAATTTTGTCCACCTGACTCACATTGGCTCCGGGGAGATGGGGGCCGGAGATGGACTTGCCATGGTAATAAGGGAATGTTTGATATGGGGTTGTGGCCTAGAACGGTTCCTCTTTGAAAGTTCGAGCAGGGGTCATAACAGAATGCTTGATGGGGAAGTAAGCAGCGAGGATTCTAGTCCCGGTCACCAGTTGGGTAACCCTAGGACCTTGGCATTTCAGGTCTCTGGCCTCGGCTCCCTCATCTTTACAGTTAACAGGTTGTTACTAATTGGGGTGGGAGATAGATATGTCTTTAAGAGTTACTTGGACGGCTTTTCCCCAAAACCGTATCCCTTCCTTCTATTCATTAAGAACTGCTGTCTCAGTGCTGTAGTAAGTCACATTGTGGTTGGGATGTTAGGGCAGGAAAAAGGCCGAGCACCTCTGTCCTCAATAACATCTAATATGTATTTTGCTCTCAAAATAAGGGAAACGGGGATGGAGATAGTGAAAGAGTCTTTTCACCAATTGCAGAACTTAGATAACTATGCTTGGGTCCTTTGTGGGAGGATCTTATAAGTAAAAGAATACTTTTTTTTTTTTTTAAGTCCTCACCCAAGGACATGCTTTTATTAATTTTAGAGAGAGAGGAAGGGAGAGGAACATTGATGTGAGAGTGAAACATCAATTGGTTGCCTCCTGCACATGCCCCGATGGGGGAATCGAATCCATGACCTTCCGGTGTATGGAACCATGCTCCAACCAACTGAGCCGCACCAGCCAGGGTGTAAAAGACTAATTTTTGTCTCATCCTCACAAAGGTCAGTGTGAAGGGAGGCATGGGAACCTCCCTTGGAAGAATGGTGATTGATTTTAACCTTTCCAGAGGATTTTCTCTTCAAGGAGATGGGGTCAGCCTCTTCCATGGAGGGCACAGGGGAGATTCCTTACTGTGAGACAGGAAGACTTGGGAGAGTTTCACATGTGCTTTCCCACAGACAGGTGCTGTTCAGGAGCAGATGAGATCCAAGGGAACCCGAGACAGGCCATGGAGCAATTCTAGGGGCTTGTAGCTCCAACAGGAATGGTGAGTAAAGAGAGAGCACCTCCAGCACCTGCTGGGCTCTGCCTTGGAACCCTGATCCTCTGCAAGAAAGGGAATCGAGGGAAGGAAGAATTAGACCGGGAGAGGTAGTGACCTGGGATCCAGAAGAGCAGAGAGAAAGGGATGTGCAGACAGGAAAAGAGAAAAGAGCGCGCTGTGGAACTAGTCTGCACTAGGCGGTGCCTTTCTCCCCGAGACCTTGGTGTTCTCTGAGGCTAATCTTTTTTTTCTTTTTTTTTAATCAGTTTTTGCTGTCTGAAGTCTCCACTCTGTGCCCAGCCCAGAAGAGATGCTGCCTCCACCAGGTCCTCCGAGAACCAGTGTCCTCAAGGCCCCTTTTTTTCCTTATCTGCCTGATAGTGCCTCAAAAGGCTTGGGGGCTGGACTCCCCCCTCCCTCCTCTGGCTGTAGCCCCTCCTGGAGACGGGGTCAAGGCAGCAGGACTGACCAAGTAACTACTGGTTGGCCAGAGGAGCTCAGCTGAAGCCCTGGACACTCTCAGATCTGAAATGGGAGTTTCTGGAAACCTGGAATGAGTTCCCTCCTCCTGAATGACAGTCTGGGTGCCACCCGTTTTTAATCTATTAGCCTGAACTCCTTAAATGGCAGGTGGGTGAGGTTACCACGCTGGAGCTGGCTTTGCTGAGAGCTCCCTACCTCTCTGCCCTTCTCCTTCCTTCTGGAATGAACTGAGGCAGACCTCAAG